TAGCGTTAACGAAGATTCTTATAACGAAGTCCTGATCGGCTGGATCAGCAACTTCGTTATATCGAGGTGTGACTGTACTATTTTAATCTAAATTTAATTATTTATATTTTATTTTTAAGAATCTTCGACCTTTAATCTATTTTTTTCCATTATTCTTAACTACCTATCAACTCAAATCGATTTGAATCTCCTGAAACACATTCTGATTCACAATTACCATAATAAACTCTTCTTACTATTTCTTTTTATTCCATTTTCATATATATATCATTTCTTCTAACTATTTTTTTTCTTTTTGTCTTTCCTTTTCATTTACTTATTCCATTATCTTTGCTTATTTCTTTTCACCTTAATTCAGTTTTTTTATAAAATATTTTTCTGAATTTGCTAAAATAAAAACCTGAACGAAGCTTGTTACCTCTATGTGGTATTCAGGATCAACAGTTATAGGATAATCTATATCTGGCCAAGAACAAGCATATATTGTACTATTATTTTAATTCATATTTACCCCTCTTTAAATCAGCTGATTTCTGGCACGCCTTTAATCATATGATCAGTTCGGTATATCAAAATTTTTTTTTTTATGTTTTATTATAAACTTGTTATTCAATAAAACTTCTATAGTAGGAAATTCAGGTTCCGAGAATTTTTGACTAATATTAAGAGCTTAATGCATTTTAATCTAAAAACAACAAAAACTAAAATGCAATAGAAATCTCAATTTTGTTAAAAATTCCTGGAATCTGATTTTCCTAGCAATCAACCCATATGAATTTCGGCCGGTATATTATGAACCTGGTGCTTGAAAAAATGTTCGGTAAGTCAAGGGTTCGTTATATCATGGGTTCGTTAGATCAAGGTCAGACTGTAGTCCCGTGATAGACTTCACATACGTGATGTATATATTTTACCTTTTCATATTCAGAATTTAAAGAATTGGGATTTTATAATATTATTATTGACGAAGTTACATTTGATATTAATATAAAGGCTTAAGAACAAAAATATTGAAATCTATGTATAATACGGATACTTTATCTTTAGGCTGAATTTTAAATTAATTTATTAATAATGTACATACAGAACGGATTAAATTTGATTATAATTTTGGTCTCTAAATCATCTCTAATAAATGATTTTATTCATTCAGATGATATATTTCTTCCTTTCTTTCTTTTAATCTATGATTTGCCTTTTTGAATTTTTATATATTTTGCGAAATCGATCCTAATTGGCCGATTTGAATTGATTTAAATTGATTTAGTTATAAAATATTTATGTTTAATCTGTTTTCTATATTAACGGTATATCAAAACGAAAAAAATCTAAATTTTCGCGTACTTAAATTATCTTAAAAATCTTAAATTAATCGATAATATAACTATTTGCTGTTAACACATTTTTCACAACATATCTTCTGATAAGATCAATATGTTGATTTGTTCTGTTGCATATAAAAAATAATAAGGGTTCACATAATCTTTTCTCACAACCTTCCAGGAACACATTCAAAGCTTCAACATTACACATCCAACTTTCGGATAACCACATCATTTTCAATCTTTTCGGTATTACGTTAGCGATCAACTTCATCACGTTGCTTAAATCATAAAAGGTCGAATTATCATCATAAACGTAAAAATATTCCAATTTGGAACACTTTTCGAAGAATAAAGGTAAGTAGGGTATAAAATCATTCGCAAAAGTTCCAAGATACTCGGTAAGGTTAGGACAATGCGTGGTTATCGTAGAAAACAATAATAAAATATTCTTGGTATCCTCTGGAACGACCCAATTTAAATAAATACTCGTTAAATTTTCATTCGTATTCTTAATCAATGTTGAAATCTGATAAAGGTAGGGATGATCGATTTGAAGTTGAAGTTCACGTAACTTTGGAAATTTGGAATTCACAAATCTTTCCATAAGGTTCTCAATAAAACGTTCTCTATGCATGATTATTAACGTTTCCAAATTACTACAATTGGAGAAAATGTCCAATGAAAAGATTCTATTGATAGATAATGAAGTAAGAGAATTGACTTTATTCTTTAAAGCGTTTTTAATGTTTGGAATATTGAGGGTCATGGATTCTATCGATAAACCGAGTAAAGGCTTCTGTTGAGCTCGAATTAATTTTGCCAACCCTTCGTTGTCATTACACACGCAATCAATTTGTAAATGTTGAATGTTCTTGCTAATTTCCGATGCCTTGGACAAGATTTCCGATTGCATGCACCCGTCAAATGAAAATTCCCTGAGGGCTGACAATGAAACTTCCGCCCCGGGCAACAAATGAAGTTGCAAAAGCGCATCCGCAGGACAACTCAATTGATTCGATTTCTTTAATCGAAGTTCTTTAAGGTTCTTGCACCTCATCATAAACATCCTGAGTAATTGTTCGATTAATTGATAATTTTGAAAGATCGAAATGAAATGATTTCCATCCTTTGGTATCGTATTACACATCTCTATCCACCTTTCCGTTGCGTTGGATAACATCACATTATCCAAACGTTGTAAGAATGATGCGTAATCGAACATCGTTCCTCTTTTTAGCGTCGACGATATCCCGCATTTGGAAAGGATGATTTTCGCTTCATCGCTCAGACACATGATGTAAGTTCTAATGGGCAGATGAATCCTATCGCGCGTGGATTTGCGAAGTTGAAGGTTCGCCAGAGGCTCTTTCCAAAGCATGGGAATCGCTACAGAGCACCATTGTCGATTCACCAAGGCACATGAACGTAATGTAACATAATCGAGGTAATCGTGGTTTTCTTCTTGATTGTAAGTAACTCTGAATAGCTTAAAGATCTTTATAAGGCATTCCGTCGGAAGTTTTCCCGTCATTTTTTTTTTTTTATTTTATTTTTATTTTTTTTTTTATTATTATTGATTTTTTATCCCCTAAAAAAAAAAAAAGGATTATATAATGAGATTTTCATCATTTTATTTATATATTTTTTTTTTCCAAAAACAAGCATGTATAACTTTTTAATTTATGAAACAAAGTTTACTTATAAATCCTATCCTACATGTAATTTCTAATTTCAGCCTAAAACCTTTTTTTTCCCTCAAACAAAAGGTTTAAAAAAAAGAGGAGAAAATAATAATCACTAACTATTTATCTGAACAAAGCAAATAACATAATGAGCTTGCTATATCAGGAAACGCCGAAAATATTTTTAGAGCGCCCAGGATCTATTTTTACCGGCCAACCGTATCACAAAAAAAAACCTCGATCTTGTTCAGTACAATAAGCTTGTTATTAACCAGAAAATGGGCAACCCCCGAACATGAGCAGCAAGGATGACGTAAAGATTGAATTATCCTTCTTTTATTTCATTCCGTTTTTAGAATAAAATATATTATACAAATCAGGCGATCTCAAAACTCTATCCATTTTCAAATGTTTGCTTTTTATAATAAAAATGGACAAAACTATTTGCAAATCAGCCCACCCAGTTTATTCTGATCCGGTCCGCAGTCATCGCATCACACTCATTACGTGATATTATTTAATCCCACAATCATGCTAAACCGCATATAATCTTATCGGTCATTATGATATTCTCTTTTGCCGAAATTGCACATACAGTTCATAAATGTTTTTTTTTTGTGTATTTATGGGCATTCCCGTGCAAAAGAATAAATAGATTCGAGAACTTTTTTTAGAGGATTTTAATTTATTTGACAAAGTGGTTAGGATCTGTTCAGAGGGTTCTTACATGAATCATTTTTTTTAAAATTTTAATCGGCACATCTCTTTATTAAAGAATTAAAAATTACTTTTTTTTTTTTTAAACGATTTAAACGAACATTTATCGATAAACTTTTCATAAGTTTTAAGTTCTGAATGCAAAAACATAGTATTCTGGACAAGATATTTCACGACCATCAACAGCAAAGTTCATCCCATCGATCAAATGCTGTTAATTATTTATAGAAATTAACTACTAATTTTATAATAAAAAAAAAAAAATAAATAAATAAAAAAAGAGAGCATTTACTTGACCGGCTTTCCCAATTCTATCTTTTCCGTTATAATGGACTCTACCGATATATAATTCCTTACCATCCTATTATTAAATAAGTTAAAAAAGAAGCTCTTTTTTTTTTGACGATTGCAAATCAAATGAAGTTAAAATGACTCACGGATTCAAAACCTCCTTTTAGAGGAATAAAGTTTTGCGGTCGACAAGCTCCTTTACTAATAAACGAGGCAAATTACAATAATAAATAACATTGATTTGCATAATAAAAATATAAACAAATGATTTTACCATAAAACCCAATGAAAGTGAGATTTATCTCCGGTGAGAACTTCATAATGAGTAAGAAGATGTTCTTTTCCACCCCATCCAATGATAAGTCCTTGACCTTGTTTCACGTATCCTACATGTAATCCATCCTTGAAGTATGCTCTACCAATTGCGTGGTCTCCTTCCCAGAATGAATTTGATGGAACTTTTCCGTCGGAGTCTGCAATCCATTTTGCTGCCTAGGTAAAGAGAAAAATTTTTAGATTATAATCGAATGAGAAAAAATAAGTTGGATTTTAAGACATCGGGATACCCAGTGTTCTTGTGCGACTGCCATAATGTTTAATTAATGATGTGAAATTTTTAGACTTTTCATGAGAAAACCATCCAAATTTATATAGACGACAATCATCCGCAGATCGTGGGAAAACATTTTAGCCAAGAACAACATTTAAACCAAAAAAAAAGTTCAATGCTTGGCAAACACATGTTGAAATGAAAGTTCCTCGAAAATTTGGAATAGAAAGCGGGTTTAAAAAATGATAGTCCAAATATAGATATTTTATTTAATCTTGGCAAAATAAACTTGATTTAGTCACTAGTGCGATGTGCGTCGATTTTGCTAAAATAATTTATATGCTATTTATTACTATCACGTCAAAATAAAAATTTTTTATTTCTAAAAACATCTATATGTATAGTACAAGTTTATTATTGTTGTTGTCATTGTATGCCCAAATGCAATTTTAAATTACCCAAATCGTTTAGCATAAAGAATACTGAATAATTACATTATCGTGATACAATTACATTTTCTCTTTGATAGTTCATATATTTGCAATGAATAAAGTTTGGATTATGGATTGATTGGTGAGGAAAAAAAAATTAAAAGAAATGAAAATGTAAAAAAAAAAACTAAAATACACATTAAATTTGAGTATACAAAATATAAAATGAGAGTTAAAAATATTATAAAATAGTATCCAATGAATAAGAAATGATTATGTTGATCTGAGATTTACTTTCTCGAAGGGAAACTTTTAATATAAATTATCGGATATTGAACCCTCACACAATTAATTCGCGTTAATGGAATCGTTGTTTTCATCTCAAGGAAAGTTCATTCATCATCAGCATACATTTGATAAACATTGAAGGTTCCACCTGATTCCTCATCGTCTTCCTCATCAACTTCCTCATCATCATCATCATCATTTTGTTTTATAGAATCCTTTAAATTAAAAATTTTCAAGTTAGTTATCGCAATCCTTTTAAATTCGAATCCAAAGATTAATTACTTACTTGAATATTTATAACATCGTCTTTATTTATGAGAATCGATTTTCTCGCAACTTTACTTTGAACTTTGTGCGCTTCTTCTTGATTAGTAAGATCGGCTTGGAAACGCACCGATTTCTTACGTACAAGTGGCTTTCCTTGATTCTCTTTATTAGATGTTGTTTCACTCTTTGGTTTATCGTTATTAATTTGTTGTGGTGAATCTACAGTTGTGTCCTTGATCTTTTGATTTTGATTTTGATCTACTACACTTTCATTGTTCACGACGTTATGATTTTCGTTCATGGCAGCGTTTTTACCTGCTATGGCTGCTTTCATATTCTTGACCTTTTCCAAGTGTCGCTTCATTGCGTCAATGTCAAACCTTGGTGGAACTGGTCTTTGACTCACTGGGGCTACGACAGGGTTCGGTATAATCGTCGCTGGTTTAAATGTTTCTGTTATGATAGGAGCACTTATTTCGGGAAAGGAGGAAACAGTGTCAATCGTTTCTGGCTGCATCCTTGGTTGTACTTTGAATGAAGTTATCCCCGGTGAAGATTTCATTATCAGTCGTGACTCGTCACTTACCCGTCCAATAATCATAGTTGATTGTACGGGTTTGATGAATCCTATAGTGGATGATTGCTTCAATTGCGGTGAGGCAAGAATAGGAGCGTTTGCAACTTGATTTTCAGATTCATCTGATTCCATAGGAAGGTCTTGTTTTGGACCAATCTGTCGCGTCTCTTGAGCACGAACGTTTGATGTTTCAGGAACATTTTGTTTATAGTCCGATTCATTATTTGTCGGTGGTGTGTTATTCTTGGTAATTTTATGATCATCCAAATTTTCGATATTTGTGTTGATGTAAGGCTTGCTTCCATTACCTTGCTCCGAATTCACGCTACTTGAATGACTAGCCGATCGATCCTTATCCTCAGGTGTGACATTAGATTGAATATCACGCGATTCACTTGTCAATGAGTTATAATTAACAAGCGTTGAAGAATCTTTGGAAAATAACCCCGGCACAACGGTATTGTCATACGAATTTGACGTTGGAGGTGGTAGATCACTCGTACGTTTTTCATCGAGGTCAACATTGTTCAACCGATTATCTTCGACATTTGTGAATTTTGACATCATATCTTCCAAATCTATAAATGGTTGCAAGTCCGGCAGTTGTAAAGCATCCTTTTCACCATTATTTGAATTTGTTGATAGGTTGTCACCTTCATCATCACCTGTGACTTTTTGATTGATGTTATCATTATCATTTTCTTTATTGATATCTAAATCGCTTATATTATCTGATTGATTGGTCATCACCAACGAAGGTTCTTGCTGAGTATTTGATTGATCCTGATGCGATGAAGACACTGAGGATGAAAGAACTTGATGATCGGTGGGAACAGGCTCGCCTTTAGAGGATGATGGCGAATGCGGCGGATCTTCAAGAGAACGAGGACTATTTGAAGATTGCGACGGAACTCCTTGAAAGTGAGTTGGTCCTATGGGATATAGTTGCTGAAGTGGAGGTGGGCCTCCATAGTATTGATCACTCTGTGATGGCCCTTGGTACGTACTTTGTGGGTATGATGGTTCATTTTGCTGAGAGTTGAAAGGGAAATTTTGCGAGTTCGGAGAATTTGCTTGCGGATTTCGAGGAGATGATGGTACCGGGGAATTGATTAAAGGTCTTAATGATTCCATAGAATTTTTTTTTTGTAAGGAGTAAGAGGAATTATTAACCGAAGGTGGTCCCAATTGTGAATCATATGAATTGGTGGACTTGAGCGTTGGTTTAACAGGATTGAGAATGGGCGTCATGGGTGGAGTTGATGAATCATATGGGCGACGTGAATTTAAATTATTATTAACAGGGGTCAGTTTAGACAGTTGAGGTGAAAGGGGTGGATTCCGATCCATCATTGATTTTATAGTGTCAAAACGCTGTTTTTCTTGGTCCTCAAAAGAAGTATAAGAATGACGATGGGGCTTTTGCACATATGATCCATCAGCACCTTGAACTTCCTTCAATTCGGGGTCAACTTCCCTTGGACGACCCCCAGTCACTTTCCTCCTAACAAACATTCCAATCAAACCTACGGCAACCAAAGCTCCCACAACAAGTCCGAAAATTTCACCCCCACCAGCACTATTATTATTGCTAACTGTGGTACTTGGTAAAGCTGTATCGTTATTCGCTGGCACATTTGGATTTGGTGATCCATCGGGAAAGAGTGGCAAAGGGGTTCCTTTTGGCTTTTTTGCCTGATTAGGGTCCTTATTCTCATTTTGGGATTTGGGATTGTCATCTTTATTACCTTGTGGATTTTCCTTTGGATTATCCTTTGGGTTATCCTTTGCATTATCCTTTGGATTCTCCTTTGGATTTTCTTTTGGTGGGTCCTTTGGATTATCTTTTGGATTGGCCTTTGTGTTATTCACTTTCGAAGCTCCTTTGGTATCTTCTTTACCATCATCGTTATTTTTCCCATTAAATTCGCCTACTGCTTTGGGAATGTTTGGAAATTTTTTTTTTCCTGTTTTTTGTTTAACAGAAAAGAAAGTTGCATTTGTTTTTAGTATCGTATCTTTTCCAAACATGACAGTTTGATGTAAATTTTCTTAATATAAGTGTACCTTTAAGTTTTTGCACACCCTTTCCCGATTTCGTTTTTGCGTCATCATCCTCTTTGACCGCTATTAATTAATTATAATTGAAACGAGGTAAGTTTTATTAAACGAAACGCTAATCATCTCAATCACTTCACTTTCATCAATAAACGATGAAACCCTCTTATATCATTAACATTACATAAGCTATAAACTTCTAAAAAAGGATCAAAAAGAAAGCTTCTTGTTTTACCTTTCTGACGCTTCTGTAACTCATACTCATCTCTTATTACATTAGAATAAACCATTGCTGCAAAATCCGATGAAAATGTAAGTTTCTAGTGTTAAATTATAATTATAATTAAATATATACTTTTTTTTCTTGAATATAACGCAAAATGCACAGCATTTAAAGGTTTTAACAAGGAAAAATATGGGAGGTGATGTATTATGAAGGAGGAGGTGGTGGCGGTGGAGTGGTGGTGCTGAAGTGGTGGTGGAGGTTGTAGAGTGGTAGTGGTGGGGAGGGTGGAAGGTTAGTGGTAAAAGGGAAAATGAAAAAAAAAAAAGAAAATGTGCGCGTAAAGAATGAGTGAAAGACGGGTGTCAACGTCTTGTGAATTTTATAATTTTACTTTGTTCCTTTGCGTTCAAGGCAGAAGGAAAAGTCTCTATCAGAGCATAGAGAGAGAAAAACAAAGTAACAAAAACGATTAAAAAAGCGGGAATTGACAATGTTTATTTTTCGAATTATTATTTTATTGATATTTGGCAGGGTATGCGTGGTACAACAAAAATCAACTATATCATTATGGCACCAATCAGGGAATAAATGCTAACAGATCGCTGCATGACATTTAATTACTGATTAATAACAAAAGACAAATGTTAAGGGATCATTTATCAATGCTTCTTTTAAAAAGAAACTTTAATTCGTTTTAGACTCTGAGTAGATGTCTAATCGAACCCCGATCTGTATAGGCATGTCACTTTAATTACTCAAATATATATATCCAATATACCTACTTAAAAAATACGAACTGCACGAAATTGCCTTTCCTTTTGTGGAAATTTAATTAGTTATTATTATTATTTTTATTATTAAAATGAAACTAGAACAAAATTAGAGGAACACAGAATAAACATATAATAATAATATAAACGTTGAATGGAATTGATTGCCTTTAAAAAAAAAAAAAAAAAAAAATGGTAATTGAGATTTTTATTTTTTAAATTCTTTATTCAAAGTGTGCCCTTTATATTTTTTTTTTTTTTTTTTTTTTTTCCTCCGTTTGAATTACGCACTGTATAAATACTAAATTTAAAATATTTAATTTATTTGATTTATTGGGAATAGCCGCTTTTTTTAGATTAATCCTTTTGGGACAAGTTTTATTGTTTAAATTACTTTATTCCTTTATTTAGAATAACTTGATTAAAAAAAGAAGAATTTTTACAATTGTCAAATAATTGTCATCACATGATCAGCGAAAACGCAAGCTTTTTTTATTTTGACCTTCTTTTATTGGAATTTCCTAATCTAGAAGAAACTTGTACATCTTTGATGATTACAGGCAGGGCCCGAAACGGTCCAACATTCCAGCTGTTTCAAAAAACTCTCGTCTGCAGGCCGATAATCTTTTGATTTAAATCGCTGGAAGTTGTGCAAAAAAAAAAAATTCATTTGAATCCCCAATTAAAAAGGGATATTCGAAAATTTAGTTGATGTCTCGCGCAAGTACGATCTTTTGGTTTTATTTTTGTGCATTCGCTTGTAATTTTAGCACATTTTAAGGTTAAGAACCATTATAAATAATTGTTATTATTTTCTCTGACGGCAACTCTTGAATTTATACAAATTTTTGTTTATTGCATTTAAATTGATTGAATGTTTCACTCAAGTATATGTATGCAGACTTCAAACAAAGTGAATTTTGTATTTGCATTCGTATAATGTATTGCAGTATTGTTCTTTTGGAAAAAAAAAGAATGAGGAAAAATATCAAGAATTTTTTTTTTTCATTTTGCGTTCAGCCAGTTATATCATGCAAGAGAAATTTAGAATCACCTCTTAAATGGAGACGAATAATCTTCATGCGTACAACGGTGATACTGTAATCATCCTTTTTAATATAATTTTTTTTAAAAAAAAAGGGACGAGGAATTTCATCCAAAGGAAGTTTCTATTGGGCCCGGTTTGATGAGATATTTTCACTGAAAATAGAATCGGGCTTTGAAAATGAATTTTTTTCTTCATTTATCAACAACTGATAAACAAAAAAATTTATAATGAAAATGGATTTGGTTTAGCCTTAATGTTTGTCATCGGTAAACATCATATAAATGATTGCATAAAGTTTTTTTTTTTTTTAAATGAATAACATATTTGGCATATTTAGCTCAATTCAAATAAAAAAGACCCTTTTTTATTTTATTATAAAACTTTTTACTCGAAAGACTGGAATTTTCGTTGTAAATTTTTTTACCTTTAAATTTTTTTTTTTATTTTATTTTATTTTATTTTTTTTATCAAATGATTTTATTTTCTTTACCTTTGTAAATAAAAACATTCAAAAACGTAAGTCTAAAAAATTTCCATTAAAAAATATGTATATATTAATATAATTGTTAGATATATATTAATGCATGAGGCTCGAGCTAATAAATATCCTTTTTTTAAAATGAAGTAAAACGAAACGAAAACGACACGAAACGGAAAATTAGTAATTTATTTTATTATTATTATTATTATTATTATCCATTAGTATTATTTAAAAAAAAAAAAGACAACTTTACAAAAAAAAAAAAAAAAAAAAAAAAAAAAGAGAGGTATGGTGAAATTCATTATACCATGTCTAATAATACTACTAGGAGTGAGTTTACGAAATATTGTTCATGCGCAAGATCAAACTTGTACAAAGAATAATGAGGCTTGCGTTAAATTGAATGAAATTTTGTTACCTTGTGGTGGGGCATTTGGTCCTCCGCCTATTGACGCTATAAAAAGTCAAACTCCTTTTGAATATAATGTGGCCGGTAAGAGTTGTCTTTTCTCTCTTTTTTTTTTTTTTTTTTTTTGATTTTTAATATATTTTTTTTTTTTTATTATTTAAAATTTAGACAAGAGTTTGGCACTTTGCATGTGTAATGAAGATGCATACAATACACTGTCAACCTGTTTATTATGTTTTGGAAATAATTACATTAAAGCGACAAAGTTCACACATTATCAAAAAACTTGTCAGGATTTTGGCATTTCATTTGGACCACCAATAAGTAAATCATCGGATTCAGCAACTACGGCAAAGTATATTATAATAGGAATATTTGTAAGCATAACGTTGATCTTACTCGCTGGATTATTATTGTGGTATTGGTACACCAAGAGATCCAAAAGGTCTCGAAACAGGGAAAATACTTCATCACCAAATGAAAGCACGAATGAAAATAATAATCCTTCAACGTCACAAATAATGATTCATCATCCCTCACCCGGAAGTGAAACGGTGGTTTCGGAAACGTATGATGATGATTACCCACAGATGTCAAACGGAGGATTACAACCTAAATATGAACCCAGTGCTTACTACACTCCATCTTCCCCTCCTCCTGTTCCTCCACATCGTACCGGTTTATTCCCCCCTCCCGGTACGATTCAACAACAACCGTATTATCCATCAAATGTTCCATCAAATGTTCCAACACGAACTCAATATCCACCCGCTCCCGATAGACCGTATCATAATAACGTTACGCCACCGCCTCTTGCATCGTCACAACAAAATTATTTTCCTCCGCAACAACCTTTTCTATCACCTCAACAAATTTATCAACCTTCACTTCCCGTCCCAACCAGACCTCACCCTCGACCACCGCATTTTGATTATAATCATGACAGAGCAACTTCTCCAAATTATCATCAAAGGGTGCCTACTCCCCCTCGTAATTTTTATAACGGTGAGAATTATTATAGTCGATAATATATATACATTTTTAAAAAAGGGTGGACAATTTCATGTAATAGATTCTAGAATGAAAATGGTTTCTTAATCTTGTATACATTTTATGTAATAATATTATTCAATTGTAATTTAGCTTTTATGAGTAATCATATTCAATATCATTATAACAACTATAAATTAAAAAATTTCATCACATAAAAAAAAAAAAATCTGGGTTTATCCCTCTGAAAAAAAATAATAATGCCAAAAGTGATTAATTGCGTTAATGATGTTAATGAGTGTTAATTGCTCGATAAAATACCGAAATTATCAAGTTTAAATATCGTAGTCATATTACGATGTTATTTTTTATTATTTAAAAAATAAAAATGAAATGAAATATTGAATAAGCATGCGTTTGTAGATATAAAAGTAATGAAAATATTGAATAAATGTGTGTAAAATATTGTTAAATTGGAAATCAATCATTCTTTGTTTTATCTCCTCTGCTTTTAAATAATCCTCCATAGATTAGTTTTCCAATTTTAATAACACCCCAAATCAGTACAGCGAATATACCAACTACAATTCCGATCGCAGTAGCATAAACATCCAAATAATTTCCTTTAATGAATCCCATTCTGTTTTTGGGAGAAACCCACTCTTTATACAACCATCCTTCGTTAAACTCATTCGTTGGACTCCACGCTGAAGCTTGCAAGACGAACTCGACCAAATCAGCGGCTCTATATTTCCTTTTACTATTAATCATGGCCAAAGTTTTAAGCTTTTTCACGTTCAATTGTATCGTTTCATTCTTTTGCAAACGTTCGGCCTTATCTAATACTTCGCTTACTTGGAGATTATATTTATTCAATCGTAAGGCAACACCGGCTAACACCAATTTGTCGGCATTACTAGGTTGATCCAAAGAAATTGGTAATGCAAGTATTGGCGTTCCAGTATATAAAGATTCATATATACTACCAGATCCCACGTGACTTAAGAATACTTTTACATTTTTATGATTTAAGATGGTAAATTGAGGTGCATAAGAAGTTATATGAACGTTTGGATATTTATTATTTAATACATCCATGGTGGAAATGGTTCTACCATTCGATAATGTGATTGAAGGTTCGAATTCATCCTTATTGGTTTTACCCAGGGACCAAATAACTCCATCAACAATATCGTTTTCAACGGTTTCAACAAGGGATTGTAATAATTTCATGTTGTTTTCGGGTGTTAGATATATATGCGTTCCTAAAGCTACAAACATCGTACGTTTATGCGCCGTAATAAATTGTTCGAGATCCGGTGTCAACGGTGGAAAATAATCTGGAAAAAGTGGCCCAACATCCTAA